CAAAATAACCTTATGTTAGACAGTAGCCTCGCCCAGCCAGGTGCCCTCCTACTCTTCTAATCTCAGTCCCAGTGGGATAGTAGGTAGGACCATTGGAATGGTAGGTTGAATACATGTGGAGGATATACCTGCTTTGGAATGTCTGAAATAGGGATTCAGATCTACTGAAATGAATGATGTGGTGATCTAAATCATATTTTGAGTCAATGGCTTTTGAGAGTATTGCAGGTCTTGCTAGGTAGGGTACCCTGTTTCCTCAGAGTTTCCTAAGCTGACATCTGGAAAGCTTAACAAGAAGTTCAGAAGAGTAGATCTTAAAGATGGCACTGATGCTTCATGACCTACAAGCCAATAAATCATATTCTTCTCCTGGAGATTTTGCAGGGGGATTGCTGATGCAGAGACTTGTCTTGATAAGTCAAGTGATATTAATGGAATATTTAATTCTCAAGAAGCTTTTTGCCTTGGGTTTTCTGAATTACTTAACTGCATTTACAATTTAAAGCAGACGACATTTATTATTCTAATGCAAAATAATCAGTGAAAGTCTTAACTGGAAGCTATTTTGAGCAGATTATATGAGTTACCCAAACACATTTAAATGAAAAGGCATCCAAAATTTATCTTATCAAATATATTATGACAGATCACATATATCATGCAAATGTATTCATGTTCATTTATCTTATTGAGGATGTGAGCAGAGTGCATGAGTCTTGAATATTCTGCAATTATTTTTTAACATTCAAGGTATCAGATCCTAATGTGTGTTTATATATAATTTAGAAGGTCATTCCAGCAAAATGTGTGGAGCGTTAGAATGTGGTTAACATGCAAGGGAGATTGAACAATATAGTAGTATCAATTTAGTATTTCAACACAAAATTCTGAGGCGACATTCCTGCCTGGTTTCTGTTTATTTATAAATGAATTGTTTCATATCTCCCTGACAATATGGATTAAATAATACGTGATATTTTTTAAACCTGCCACCTAGAGAAATAGCTGCTAATCACGGTTCTTAGCAATATGCATACTATGGTATTTTCTGTTTCTTGAAAATACATTTTCAATTGATTCTTTTAAATTATATATAGCAGGCCTAACATGCTCATTGGAGCATGGCTTTTTGAAAAAGATGACTAAAATACTTTTAGTGACTTGTTTGGATGCTTTATATATACCCTTTCATCAGTTTATCCTGCTTATCTGACAAATGCTTTGTAGATGTTTCTTCCTTATTGAAAACATAAATAGAAATGGATAGTGAATGGTGGCATATTTTATAAAGATTTATATTTTGACCTTTAAAAAAAAGGCAGCCTCAGCACCTTAGCTTTGTGAGCTAAACATTTCTAAAGAGATGCAGCATTAAATGGAGTGGCTTTGGGGAAAACTAGGCATGCATTTTGGCTAATTATGTTGACATTTTTATTCAATTTAAAGGGACCTGATTCAACGGAAGGCTGCAGCCAAATATTTTCCCACCAGTTTATTAGCCTGTAGCTTTACGGGGAGAAATAGATGCCTCTTTGTCAAGCAATAATGGAGTTGCCTCGGGAGAGCTGCCTGACCCGCTGCTTGTTTTTCATTCTGTTGCCACCTCTGGCACTTGATTCACAGCCCAAAAAGCTGCAACCTGTGTCTTGAATTGGCGGCTTGAGGGAAGTAGGGTCAGCATTTAGCTCTGATCCAAAGTGGCTTGTCAGCTTTTGTAGAGGTCAGGACTGTGCCTCAGGGATGCAGCCCAGAATCTGAACTACAGAAGCCCCAAATGGCATTTTGGAGAGTAAGCTAATGGAGACCTGGCCTTCGTAGTTCAGGGATGGATGACTCAGTGTGTACGTTGTTACCTATTAGTTTGATATCTTGAAGATGCTTTGAGAGTTTCAGTTGGTGGAAAATGCAATTGGTACATGAATTCAGAATCATGTTACTGTATGCCTGTATTGAAAGACATATATTGATTGCCAGTTGTTTCATGAGTACAGTGTTATGCCTAACTTAGACTCAGGTTGTAATTGCATTTTTGTCCATTTTCTTTCATATCATTTCCTAAGGGTCTGAAAATCTTCTGCCTGCTAAGGACTACCAATTGTTCTCTACACATCTCTAATCACATAAGGACTGTGGATTTGCCATCTTACTGGGAACCATGGATTTCATGCCCTTGGGATTTATCATTTGCGCCAAGAGACTGCTGGTCTTCTGTCATTAACTGGGGACTGCTCACGTCTCACTGAAATATTGCTGCCCCTGAAGGACCAGTAGCCTCTGAATGGGGCCCACCAGTTTCCTACCCACATGGATTAGTTCCTACTCACACACACACACTGTCTCCATACTGTCAGCGTGGCCATGCTGCTTGCATGCCTAGATTATGCCCCTTTTATGTTATTTGAATAAACTATATGCCTGCAGCTTAATAATCAGACCAGATTGAGTTCTTTTGTTTTTTTGCATAGTTCAGTAAGGTTACAAAATTAAGCATTTAAAATTGGGATAGAGTTAAAAGATTCAGCCTCCTTATCTAAGGAAGGACAAGGAGAGAAAGAGAGGGAGATGGGAAAAGGGGAGAAGCAGCAACGAGGAAAAGTTCTTAGAATCTTCTCCTGAAACTTCAT